GAATAGGTCCATTACAGTCATCGTGAGGTTGGCGTCCGTGAGATAAGGGACCGATTCCTTACCCTCTCTGAGGGCCTCATTCTTAGCGGTTATGAGTGCATCACAAAAGTCCCTTTCAATGGATTCCGAGTAGTCTTTCTGATGTGAGACAAACTTCTTTTGACAAATATCTATGAATTCAATGATATTGTCGTCTTTTTCTATCACTAGCTTTCTATCCAATAGTCTAATAAGTGGTGAGAATTCCCACAATAATAGCCGACTTCCGGCTTTTTTAGAGAAATCTTTTAATATGTATTTAATTCTCTTGAATTCATAGTCATCCAGATTATAACTAAAACAAAATGCAAATACTTATTAATATTATACACTAAAAATTATTTTTAGTTTAAACATTATAAATATTAAAATTTTAATATTTAAGCTCATACCTTATACCGAAAGCACTGGTAGCAAATATATTAAGAAATACTAAATAGATATAAGTCTTGGGATCAAATGCTTTTCCCGGGCCTTCCGTTTCTATCATAGTCTTCACCATACGATCCACTGAATCATTGGCCACATTCACCAGTTTATCATTTCTTGAGTATTTCCTATAAGAAAAATATAATTAATTTATATTATAAACATACCCAGTATACTGTATAATTATGAACACATACTGTACGGCCGAGTGGGCCACCCGTCTCAACGCCTCCCACCGGTGCCCGTAATCGTCAAATATAACGTCTGAATGCTTTTCATTTGAAAGTAAATGTCCTGTTTGTGGAAATAGTTATAATTGAGTTTACATTTAATATTTAGACTTATTTAGTCTCAGTTTTTAAACACGAGGACAGAGAGTGTTAACTAATTCATACAAATATGGTATAACTGACCGAAGAATGTGATACTCCTTCCGGCGAAGTCATTCTTCTTGAAGGCCTCCCGGGCCAGCCCTATGTCCGACACTATTACGTGCGGTCTGTTCCCCAACCAGAATGTGAATACCGGTCCGTACTGTTTGGCCAGTTGTCTGAACACCTCATCAAAGTGTGATTTAGTCCTAAATACTATTTATAAAATTAACTAGGTTAACATTTTTTAAAAGTACCAATTTAAAATTATTACAAATATAACATAATATGTTCAATCACTACATTATTGTAAATTGCATTACAGGGCAAACAGAGCCCCTGTCACTTTTTATTGACTTCTATGAGGGCCGGGAGTTTGGGATGGTATGCGTCAGAGGCTGCAGATCAGGAGATCAGTCCATCGACACAAACAATACGCCCGCAAGGCTTGAACCCTAAGGTCCCTAAGATGCAGGTGTCCTATATATGTCTACCTTTCCCTCATTCAAATCTTATAGACGAACACAAATACTCACGCAATAAGTTTCCCAGAATCGGCAATGGTAGTGGACCAGGTGGCAATGTAGATCTGAAGTGATAAAATTTAAAAATTTTATACACTATATAACCGATTGTTATGGTCGTAATCGACGCAACGATTTTTGTCGTATATATTGATAATAATATTGACATTTTTGATAAGTTTTATTTTTAAATATTTGATGAATTTATTTAGACGCAACACTTAATAAAAAAAAATTTTAAAAAAATAATCTTTTATATATTTAGAAATATATTTACTTTCAATGTGATTATCAACATATATTAATATGATATGAATTATATCCGACGTTTTTTCCGAAATATTTTTGTGTCAATGTTATGATGTTTTTATATTTTGTGATATTTATTACGGAAATATCCGGTGACTTACTAATTAGAGCAATTAATTTAAATTTTATAGAACAACCTTATCATGTTACCATTGCATACACCAGGGTCATTATTTTAGCCGTTAGGTTTAACATTATATTTAAAAATCAATTAATCAATTTTGGGGTTAACTTTTGTTTATTTAAGTGATTAATGCAAATATGGTTATGATATCGGTTATAATTAAAAATTATACAATATCTCGTGTTTTGAATTTATTTATTTATCAAATTAATAAGTTAATAAACATTCTTAGCCTCATAATATCATCTAAATTTTAGAATCTTACTAGATTATAGTAATCATTTATTATACATTATTTGTATGAATCAATATATTTTTCTTTATGTTGAATAAAGTCTTCAATAATTTCGGGCAGTTTTGCGATACTATTATCCGATTGTATTCGAGAAGATATTTTCTGCAGCTTTTCATTCAATTCATTATTATTTAATAGACTTTCAATTGCTGTCAATAACTCTAAGTCAGAGCACTGGTAGGCATCGAGTCGTATACCAAACCCTTTGTCCTCAACTCTCTGTGCGTTATCGTATTGGTCCAGAAAAAGGGGTAAAACTATCATTGGTATCCCGAAATACATGGTTTCTGTTGTAGTGTTGTTCCCTCCATGGGTTACCACCAAATCAACTACCGGTAGGACTTGTATTTGGGGAACAGTAGCCGCGCCCCACATGTTGACCGGTAGGTCGTACTCCTCATGAAAAGGTCCTTTCGATACAATGAATCTGTGCTTAGATTTCGACAAAATATTCACTAATCTCTTCATATTCTTCACGTCCGCCGCACCCATCGATCCCAACGAAAAGTATATCAATTTTCCCGGTCTGTCCCTCAATGGCACCGGTATCTCAAAAACCACACTCCCATCACCTCGTTTTAAATGATCAAATCTAATGAAATTCTTGGGCAGAGGTCTGATGTCCGTGTAGTCCAACTCCAATGGATAGCCGTATATATTGAGGCAATTGTTTGTATTATTTATAGCATTTCCAACCAAT